CAGGGAGAGCAGAGGTGCCACCTTCTGGCCATCCTGCATTGAAAACTGGCCATTCATTCCTGCAAAAGATGCTTAGCTTTCCCAGGCAAACAATTAGCCCCAGACTCTTGGCTTGGCACTTGAAGTCCTTGAAGTGAGTTGGACTAGGTCCAGCACAGTGGAGCTGGCGTGTGTGTGTGTGCGTGTGTGTGTGTGTGTGTGTGCATGTGTGAGTGTGTGCATGTGTGTGTGTGTGTGTGTGTGCACAACACAATGAAGGACAGAAACAAAACTGGCTTGACTGACCCTTTTTATGTCAGAACATGGCAACTCAGTCACTTCTAGATCCCATTAATTTCTAATGACTCTGTCAAAGATTACTCCACGGTGTCAGAGGGTGCATGCTGGACTTACTGACATGTGATGTAGAGGATGCCATGGTCATGGCACAGGCTTACTCCCCCATAAACTTTTATTTCATATTTCAGTTTATTTTATTTAGGTAAAATGTCACTAATGTGAATACCTATTATTAATTTTATGCTATCAGAAGACTATTCATCATCTGGGATGGATGTTCAGTGAAGTAAATACTAAAACATCTCAAAATTATTAAAAACCACCCTTAATAATCTTCTCCCAGGAGCCTAGAAGAGAAACTATGAACAGCGAGAATTATTTTCAGGAAAAGAATCTAAGTACACCAAGGTCTTTGTTTGTCTACTTTATTCCTCTGGGACAAGATTCTATCTACACAGCTACAGTTCTGTACTCATGCCTAGCTCCTTTCTTGCCTGATTTCTCTCTACCTTTATCTGCTGTCCCCTCTATGTTCTATCTTAGTTCTTCCCCATCTCTTTCTTTCCCATCAGGCTCTTCCTCATCTTTCATCTCATTCTTCTGGTTCTCCATCTAGTTCTCCAGTCAAAATCCTCCAAATCCTTTGAGGTTTACAGTTATATACCCATGCAATAGCGGTGCTCTAGCTAAAGCAAGATCACCAGGCTTGAATTCTTACAGGGTCATAAAGGCAGACAAGAGTTTTCCTCAGGCAGTGACCACCAGGCTTTCTTTTACAACCCAAAAGGGAGTGGTTAAAGGAGGAGGTCAACTGAGAGCTATTATCAGTAGTAGTGTATCAGTAGTGTATCAGAAAAAGGGAATTTATGTGCTTGATTTACATTCCTAGAAGTGGTTAGGTAATAAGTTAGGAGTCTATAACGTTAGTAAGGTTGTATAAGAAAGGAGGGTCTCAGCTTAAATTGCCCAAGAAATAAAGCTATCTTCTTGACTTAGGAAACAGGTATTGTTTCCATAAAGGTGTTACCTTAATTCAGAAAATAGATTGGCCTTGGATGCTTGATAGGTATTTTAGATAATACACTCTTAGGAGTTCTTGGAAGTACACAGCATACAAGAAAATCATTGTAGGAACCAACTAATATATATACAAAAGCTAAAATATCACCAAAACTTCTTAAGCCATGGCTTGATCTTTGGAAAAGTCCTTGACTTTTCCAAGTAGTAGCTTTTGTGATAGTAGCTGAATGCCATCCATTTTCCTATGACTTGCAGCAAAATCACTTTATCATTTATGTTTAATAAATAATATTTTAAAGGCCCAACTTACAGGGTGGATTGAAAAGATGGGTCAACCCGTTTATTACTTTCTGTGTGTGTGCAAGTGCAGATGTGTCTGTGTGTGCATGTGTGTGTATAGATGTATGAGTATGTGTGTGCCTGTATGTATGTGTGTGTACATACAGATGTGTGAACAAGTGTCTGTGTATATGTGTGTGTAGATTATGAATATATGTGTGTGTGTGTGAGCGTGTGGAGGTCAGAGGTCAGAGGTCAGAGTCTGGTGTTGTTTCTCAGTTGCCCCTAATCTTGTTCTCTTGAGACAGGGTCTATCACAGAGACCTAGAGCTTTTGGACTGGCAGGCCACTGACCCTGGGGACCCGTCTGTCTCAGCCACTGCAGTGCTGGGACTAGAAGAGGACACTCTGTCTGTTGTTTATGTGGGTGCTGGGTCCCCCACTCAGGTCCTCATGCTTGTATGGCATGTGCCTTAAGAACAGAGCCATTTGCCAGGCCCAGGTTTGATCAGTTTCTATGGCATCCACACTACATGGAATTACTGGACAGTAATTTGGTATGGACAGTAATTACTTGTCAAATAGTGAAAGAAAAATTTGAAATCTTCCCAATGGCTGCTGAGGTGACTCAGTGGGTGAAGTGTTTCCTGCCAAGCCTGATGAGCTGAGTTCCAGCCCCAGGTCCCTCGTGGAGAGAACTCATGCTCGAAGGTGTGCTTTGATGCTACGTGTACTCTGTGGTGGGGATGTGCTGTGCACTATAAAGATTTGTCACACGGATTGGTTTAATAAAAAGCTGATTGGCACATGGCCAGGCAGGAAGTATAGGCAAGACAGCCAGACACAGAGAACTCTGGGAGGAAGAAGGACAGAGTCAGAGGAGTTGCCAGCCAGAGGCAGAAGGAGCAGGAGGTGAACATGCCATAAAAAAGGTGCCACCACATGGCAGGATGTAAATAAGGAATATGAGCTAACTTAAAATGTAAGAGCTAGTTAGTAATAAGTCTGAGCTACTGGCCAAGCATTTACATTAATATTAATCCTGAGTGGTTATTTGGGAAGGGGCTGTCGACTGAGATATAGAAACTCTACCTACAAGCATGCTGTGACATGTGAAACATACTCACATAAACACATGATAGACAAATACATGCAATAAAAATGTAAAACTTCATTTTTCTTCCCACCTGGGTCTTTTAGCATAAGTCTGTGATCTCAACTAGTACAGAGGTTAAGGCAGGAGGGTCAAAGTTCAAGGTTAACCTGAGCAACTAAAGAATTCTGCCTCTAAGTGAAGAGAGGTCTGGGGCTGTAAATCCATGGCAGACACATGCCCGGCATGCATGAGATCGTAAGTCCAACCCCTAGTCCTTTAATCTGCCCAGTGTGAGTTCTGAACTCTAAGGAGGTCGATGCTTTGCCATGACACAGCTGAGGAGAGATCTAGATGGGAAAGGAAACAAACCGTTCCCTGTACGGTGTTAATCTTCATAGCTGTGAGAATTCCAGTTCCCTCCCTGTGCATCCACAGCAGTTCTGGACCTGACTTCAGTGTGTTGTGGTAATGGATATAAAACCAGGTAAGTTGAGTCAAGGACATCAGGAAGAGGAGCCTCGCCTCCAGCTGACACCCGCAGAGATGAGCACATCTTCTGTGGCTGCACACCAAGTCAGAGAACCGCTTCGGTCTGGATCCAGCTCTGCGGCACACTCCACACTCCCCGGACTCTTGCTCTCAGGACTTTAACTGAAACCTGGCAGGATCCCATCTTCATCTTCCCAGGATGTCCAGATATTATGGAATTGTCTTTTTGTACACTGTGAAGATGTGTTGCTCTCATTGGTTTAATAAAGAGCTAAAGACCAATAGCTAGGCAGGACATGTGGACAGGGAAAAGGAGAGCATGGGGTGGGGTGGGGTGACAAAGGGCAGAGTTGCCAGGAGACTCAGAGAGAAGATGAACTTGTACTGAGAAAACGTACCAAGCCATGTGGTAGTACATAGATAAGAAATATGGATTAATTTAAGTTGTAAGAGGTAGTAATAAGCCTAAGCTATCGGCTGAGTGTTTATAATTAATAAGTCTCCATGTTGGTTATTGGGGAGCCAATGGTCCCAACAAAACCTCCGCCTACACCCAGCCTCCATTTTGAGGTTCTTCCTTGAGGACTGGGCTGTGGATAACCACAGGGACCCTCACCTGAACTTCTGGAGGCTCCACTGAATCAGAAATGGTTCAGGGACTGAACTGTAAATGCCCCTTGCATCAGGGCTAGACCATGACTCACCTTCAGTTCCATTTAGCTTGTCAGAGATTTCCCTAGCTGAAGTGCAGATTCCACCGTCCAGTCAAGAGCTGGCTTTCTGCCACATCATCAGTTACCAGGGGAGGCTGTGGGGCAGAAAGCACCAGGTTAAAGGTCATCTTCCTTCACCTCCTTTGCTCCCACAAGCTTCAAACACACAGTTGTCCCAACAGTCCTGTGTAGGAGAGGTGAACATTCCCCCAGTGCTCAGTCTGGTGAGTAAATGACAGACCGTGGAAGAGCTGGCTCAGCACTGAGGCCTGATTAATGTTACAGTGGCAAGTGAATCAAGATTTAAAATAGCAAATAAAAAATCCTTAGAGAAAGTATACATGTATACTTTTTTATATGGTATTTATTCTTTGAAAAAGTTATACATGTATACAGTATATTTTGATCCTATTCACCACCAATATCACCTTTCACCTTCTTCTGGGGCCCTCTCACATTTCTCCCTACCTACCTCATTTCCTCTAAAAAAATGAACAGCCACTGAGTTCAGTTAGCACTGTCCACATGAGTGTGGGGCCATCCACCTGGGGATGTGAGCTACCAACCAACAGCCACCCTGCCCCCCCAAACAACTATCCTTTTGTTTTGTTTTGTTTTGTTTTGTTTTGGTTCTTGGTTTGTTGGTTGGTTTGAGACAGGCTGTTACTATGTAGACCAGGCTAGCCTCTAACTCACAGAGACCCAGCTGCTTCTGCCTCCCAAGTGCTGGGGTTGGAGGCTTGGACCACCTGGCCAGGCTGGGTGTCTTTTTAATGAAGAGAATAGCAGGGACCTTCCTACTGAATCTCTAACCAGCAACCTATGATGCTGGTCTCCTCTGCTGCTGATTGGCTGCTCACACTGACTTTACCCCAAACAGCACCAGAGTAGTGAATCCCCTGGTTCTTACTATCCTGTCAATGGGTAAAGAGATGACATTGTTTCTACTGAGTGAGCTTGTCTGCTCCTCCTGTTCAGGTCTCTCATCTCCTCCAGCATGATGTGTCTGTGGCTCCCCAGAGGCCCCTGTGTGGCAGCTGTGGTCCTGACACTGATGGTGGTGAGTCCTCCCGTGGCTTTGGTCAGGGACCCCCGACGTAAGTACACACCTTAGGAGCTAAGCTGCTGGGGTGGGGGAGGAAGGGGCCGACTTCTCACTGCCCAGGTCAAGTCACTTAGTCTGCTGATATTTTCTGTGACCACCCACAGTCTTCACATGAAATCCAAACTGTTCCTCAGATAGGAGGCTGGCTGCCTGTGCTCTGAGATCTGTGTGAGGGGCCCGTGATGTCAGCCATTGCATTTCAGTTTCTTCCAGTAACATCTCCAGCCTTGTGACATATTCCCCCAGGGCCTCCAGAGGACTGATAATCGTGATGTTAAATTAACCTCTTGCACAGGGCTTGTCTTCATTGTGTTGAGCTATACCAGACAACGAGGTTTCTCTTTAAAAACAGAACTGCACGTGTGTATTTGTATTCTATTTTGTATGTGTGTTTCTGTTGTTTTAACTACAAAAACAGTCAAATATTGAAGTAATCAAAAGGTTTCTCTGAAAGCATCATGAAGTCACGGGAAGAGGGAGGGCATCCCAGGGACAATCCATGTGTGTACTCTACAGGCTGTGAGGTCGCTGCCTGGGCACCTGGGAGGCTGAGCCCAGGGCTCTGTCTTTTTCTCTCCCTGTGCGTGTGCAGCCTGTTCAGGTGTGGGAGCTCTGTGCGGTGGTGGTGAGTTCCCTTTCTCCTTGGGAGCACACAGCAGCTGAGGCAGCCTTAGAGAGGATGGGCTGTGTGAGCTGTTTTCAAGTGTGTGAGGCCTCTTCTGAGAGCCCGGGGTGGGTTAGAGCCCATTTTGGTTTTGTTTACACATGCCTGTACTTTAATTTTTCTCCTACATTCTCTGGCTGGGACCATGGAAGAGGATTGAATCTCATCACCCCTTCCCTCAGGTAAGATATGACAAATGAACTTGGTATTGAATTTAAAAAGATCTGGTTTGTGAATTCTCTGGACCTGTCATTCAGATAAGAGACTGTGGGTCAGATTTATGACAGTGGTTTTCATTTCTGGACACTTCTCCAGCAGTTTCCTATTAGTAACAATCTAAAACCTCCCGTCAACCCCAAGGCTCCTGAGTGCGGCTCCTCTTCATCCCACAGTCTCGTCTCTCAGCTGCCGCCCTCACCCCCTGTGCCCTATGGCTCATGAACTCAGTGTTGGCACGAGATGTCACCTCAGCTGAGATCTGTCCCCTCCCCTGACACTGGCAGTCACACCCTCCTCCTCTGGCTCTCATCTGTGACACACCTTCATTGTCACTCCCCAGAGTGGCTCTCTGTCCCCTGTCACTCAGGTCTCCCTGTCAGTGGAGCTCCACCCCTCTCCTGCTTGTCCCTCAGTCTCACAGTTTTAAGCTCCAAACAGAGGGGGAGGGGCATCTGTTTTCCCTCTCTGGATTCCCTGGGTCTACAGGGTCAAGGCTGAGGGAGACTTCCTGTGTTCTACCTGGTGTGTGTAAGGAAGGATCAGGAGCCTGAGGGGTGGGAGGTGTGGTGTTTTCTGAGCTGCTGAGTGCTGGCATCCAGCTTAGCTCCAGATGGGCAGGTGTGGGATCAGAGAGGGGCAGGTGTGGGAACAGAGAGGGGCAGGTGTGGGAACAGAGAGGGCAGGTGTGGGAACAGAGAGGGCAGGTGTGGGAACAGAGAGGGCAGGTGTGGGAACAGAGAGGGCAGGTGTGGGAACAGAGAGGGCAGGCGTGGGATCACAGAGGGGCAGGTGTGGGATCACAGAGGGCAGGTGTGGGATCACAGAGGGCAGGTGTGGGATCACAGAGGGCAGGTGTGGGAACAGAGAGGGGCAGGTGTGGGAACAGAGAGGGCAGGTGTGGGATCACAGAGGGCAGGTGTGGGATCACAGAGGGCACACACCCCTGGTCCCTATGCCTCTGTTGGGTGCTTTTTTGGGGGGAGGTGACTTGAATCTGGACACCACACCTCTCCCTCCTGGATGGTCCATGACAGGATTGTTCTGTTCTCAAGTTGATACCCAAATGGGACATTTTTCCATTGGAGCTGTGGGACCACCAGCAGCATCCAGCCCTAACTGAGCAGGGGACACTTGCCTTGACCAAGAGTGTGTGACAGGGAAAGGCAATGGGCTGTCTCCCTACACAGGAACCACAGGCAACTGAGGAGTGCTGAGGTGTGAGAAATAGTCTTCCCAGGGAGGAGCACTCCAGTCCGTTATCCAATGCCAAAGGGTCAGCCCTGAAGACATACGTGCCAGTAACATTCCAGAGACTGAGAAGGGCGTGTTCACGTATTTAGGAATGTATATAAGTATACATATATGTACATAGTAACAGTTAATGACAAAAGAGGCCTTGAATTTGAAAGAGAGCAAGGAGAGGCATGTAGGAGGACTAATGGGGAGGAAAATAAAGGGATAAATGACGTAATTATACTACAATCCCAAAAACAGAGAGTCACACTGGCTGTGTAAACACATCTTAAGGGCAGGCCCGGTGTGCATCAGTAGATGTTCTGACACAAAGTGAACTCAGTGGTATTCTCAGAGTTGTTTGTTTGTTTTATGTCTTACAGGTTTTTTTGCTGATATATTATGGTTTCAGATTTTGTGGGGTTTTTTAATGTTAATTTTGTGCGTGTGTCTGTGTTTCTTATGGTTTTTCTTTGGCTCTTCGTGTGTGTGTGTGAGTGTGTGTGTGTGTGTGTGTGTGTGTGTGTGTGTTTTGTCCTATCCCATTATTTTTTTTCTTGTGTCTTAGTTGCCCATTTGTTATCTAGGGGAAAGAAAGAATGTGGATTTGGGTGGTTGGAGAGGTGGGGTGGGGGTTGGGAGGAGAGGAGGGAGAGAAAACTGTGGTCAGGATGTAAATGAAGGAAGAATAGAAGAAAGGAAGAACCCCATAGGAAACACCCGTCTGAAAAAAAAAAACAAACAAACAAGAAAAAAAACAAAAGAATGAGAGAGAGAGAGAGAGAGAGAGAGAGAGAGAGAGAGAGAGAGAGAGAGAGAGAGAGAGAGAAGGAAGGAAAGAGCTGGACATTATTAAGAGAAGTCTGCCCCTGCCTCTCCTAGGAATTGAGATTATCCAGAGTTCCTCCACCTCTTCTTTACACCCTTGTCAGCTGCCTTCTGTCCCTGGGTTGTGGTGACGTCAGAGGTGGGCTTGGGTCTGGTCATTTGGAGCAGCTGAAGAAGGACTCAGGGACTCGGGTGTCTTGTCCCCAGAGAAGAAGATCATTCCTGTCTCCACAGCTCGGTTCTTGGAACAAGTTAAACACGAGTGTCATTTCTACAACGGGACGCAGCATATGTGGTATCTGGAGAGACGCGTCCACAACCAGGAGGAGTACGCGCGCTTCGACAGCGACGTGGGCGAGTACATCGCGGTGACCGAGCTGGGGCGGCCGGACGCCGAGTACTGGAACAGCCAGAAGGATCTCCTGGAGGACAGGAGGGCCGCGGTGGACACTTTCTGCAGACACAACTACGGGGTCGCGGAGAACTTCACTGTGCAGCGGAGAGGTGAGACGTGAGCGGGAGTGAGGAGGGGGAGTGGCGCGGTGGGACGGGGGGGGGGGGGGGGGGGGCTGTGAGGGAGCAGCAGGAGGGCATGTGTGTGTGTGTGTGTGTGTGTGTGTGTGTGTGTGTGTTTGTGTACAGGAGCCCGCAGAGGCTGCTGGGTTCTTAAGCAGCCTGACTCCGGCCTGGGAACAGAGCTGAGTCCTCAGCGGGAGCTGCAGCACTGTTAGCTCAGATCACCTCTCCAGCCCTGAGGAGAGTGTCACGGCCGCCCAGGACAGTGAAGGGGGTGGACACTGTGTTAAGATGCATTAATCTAGCTTAAGTAGGAGAGTTAGGAGAAGGGGGTGGACAGAGGGAGGTAACAATGCACCCCAGAGTGCCGGCTTCTCAAAGAGTCACACAGAGGAGACCTTGGCTATGGGCTCCCCCAGGAAGAGCAGAGAGGGTTGTCTTGGCCTCAGCCATATACGGTGTTTGACTCTCAGGTGACATCTCGAACTTTCTCTGAGAAATGTACTTTTCTCTCCCCTCTAATCTGATGAGAGACCCAGGAGGAGGCTCTGCTGGTGCCTTGGATGGAGTGAACTCAGGAGCGACTATGTTTCATGAAGGACTAGCCCTGTGTTCCTTCCCTGTCGTGGGTCTCCAGTGAGATTCCCAGGAAACTGCAGGTCACAGCTGGGGACAGAGAAAGGCCATGAGCAATTGCTTCTTTGTTAGCTGGAGGCTTCAGCCAGACCCCAGAGTGAGGGACCCCTCTCCTCTCATGTCCCCGGGTTTCCTGGACTTTCCCTCCAGCCTCAGGAGAAACAAAGTGTGCTGTGCTCACAAAAGCAGCTCACTGAGAATGAAGTGTCAGAGTAAGCTGTGTGCAGAGAGTCAGGGGCAGGGAGGACCGTGACCTGTGAAGGGAAGATTCCAGAAAGAACTGGACCTCTGTAGGGCTGGGGACTCATGAGGGCTTCATGTGGGGAGGTTAGAATGTTGCAGATCCAGGGCCTAATGATAATTAATTCTGTCTCTGTCATGACATCCTTGACTACTGAGTGAAACCTTCTGGGATGTGTGGAATTTTCAGACACGTAGTTTCCCCCACTCAAAAGCCAAGACTGTCATCGGAGAGCACCTGAGGCTCATGGCCACGGGTCCCCACTTTGCTGTGACCCGTCCACCTGATGCTTCCACGATGCACTTGAAAAGTGTTTATTCATCAGTTCCGTTGTTCTGTTACTATGGAAACATCACAGAGCAATCACCATGTGGGAGCACGGAATTTGGGGTCATCCTACTCTGTGTTCTTGGCCCATGGTCACACATATTTGGCTCTAGAATCAACTGTCCCTTGTCCCCTCTGAGGTGACACCTGTGTCACACACTGACAGATTACAAGGCGCCTCTGGCTTTTCTGAGACTTCTTAGGTCTAAATTCTCTGCTGTTGTCTGTCTGTTTCCTTATTTACATACTTTACTTCACGGGATGATCCGCCTTTAATCCATCATTTCCTTGTTTAATATGCGAACATTACTGTCTTGAAGCTGATGTGTTTTCAGGTCCCATGTTCTTTCTCTGTGTCATGTGACGATGTTTGCCTCATGACCCCTTGTTAGATCTGCGCTCCTGTCTGGTGTGGAGAGGCTGTGGTTCCAGGACCCCAGGGGCACCTGACATCCAGACACTCAAGCCCCCTCTATAACATGAGCCAGCGTTGGCATGTGACCTGTGTAGGTGGAAGTTTCTGTCTCATTAGCAATTCCCAAATACCCAGCAGCTGCTTCCCAAATAATTGACTCGGAGACTTAATATTAATTACAAACTGTTTGGCCTATGGCTCAGGCTTATTACTGACTAGCTCTTACACTTAAATTAACCCATAATTCTTATCTATGTTGAGCCACATGGCTTGGTACCTTTTCTCAGTTCTGCCTTGTCATCTTGCTTCCTCTGTGTCTGGCTGGCGACTCCTGACTCTGTCCTTCCTCTTCCCAGAATTCTCCTAGTCTGGTCTCCCTGCCTATACTTCCTGCCTGACTACTGGCCAATCCGCATTTTATTAAACCAATTTCAGTGACAAATCTTTACAGTGTATAAGAGCATTACCCCACAGGAGACCTGTGTACCTGCTCCTTTATACTTAACCATGTCTGGGTTACTGAGGATGTCTCTGGGTGCCCAAAGTTCTGAATTTGACAAACTGAGGTTCTGTCCCCTGAGATGACTTCAGCTTGTGTCAAGTGACATAAAACTATTCAGAACCGTGTGTGGTGTTGAAAACCCCATTTCCAGAGCTCAAGGTGGGGAGAGTCTCTTGACACAGCTTGAGAAGATTGTGGAGAAATGAACCGAAATTAAGAAAGAAAAGGAAGGCTTCTTTAAACCAATTTTAAAGGAGGGCAGAGATTTACAATAACAGCCATGAGAACGGCTGGTACACTGTGCCGTCCACACAAAAACAATAAGAAAACAGCCCGGCTTCTTCAGGTCAGCTAGGATTCTCCCCAGTTGCCTTCTGCAGCTCGTCCACTGCTCTGCAAGGGTCAGGGTGCAGACTGCAGCGCAGCCCACAGTCCCTGCAGCTCACAACTGACAGGCCCCTGCTGAGGTGACTGTGAATCCCCGGGTAACACACGTTAAGAGAACATTGACCTAAGATATGGCAAAGCTGATTTATGTAGAGTTCGGCAAAAACAGATGAGAAAAGACTTCTCAGTAAGTTTTCCTGCTTCACACACAGAACAGTCGCCATCTATAGACTAGAAGAGAGAACTTAGAGACACACTTGTGTAATTTAGCTGTTGGGGAAATTACCACAGCTGGGAGATGAGCCTTTCTCTCCCTGCCAGGATGTTATGTTCACCTCCAGCTGGTGATTCCTCCAGGGAGTGGGGCTGACAGCAGAAGTGTGAAAACAGACCCTAAGTCCTGTGACAACTGTGTTAGACTCTTAATCCTGCCTGGTCTTCACCTGGATGGATGGAGGCAAACAGACAGACAACCTGGGGGGACACTCCACCTCATGACTTATTCTCACCTCCCTTTCTCCTCTAGTTGAGCCCAAGGTGACTGTGCACCCGACAAAGACGCGGCCCCTGGACCACCACAACCTCCTGGTCTGCTCTGTGAGCGGCTTCTACCCCGGACACATTGAAGTCAGATGGTTCCGGAATGGCCAGGAGGAGAAGGTTGGGGTTGTGTCCACGGGCCTGATCCAGAATGGAGACTGGACCTTCCAGACCCTGGTGATGCTGGAGATGGTTCCTCAGAGTGGAGAGGTTTACACCTGCCAGGTGGAGCATCCCAGTCTGACCCGCCCTGTCACAGTGGAGTGGAGTGAGTGGGAAGCTCCTGACCTGAGAATCCCTGCCCACGGGAGTCAGGGGTCTTGGCTTACCCGAGCCTGTCAGCCCTCTGACCCTGAGAATCCCCGCCCACCAGGGAGGGGGCGTGGCTTACCTTTGGCCCCTGGGAAGCACTTAAGCCACCACACACTCTTCTGAGTCTTCCAGTGACTTTACAGGCCCAGGGACCTGGTAGGCCTGGGCTGCAGCCTCTGCCTCTGGCTGGGTTGTTTCTGCTGCTGCTCATGGTGACAAGGAGCAGCCCAGGGTCATGGCTGACCTCAGGGATGTCCAGTCTCAGCTCTTCCTTTGCTTAGGTCTGTCACCCTCAGGACTGTGGGGTCTCAGAGCTCAGAGGCTTCCTGTCAGCTCAGTTCAGGGCAGCCATATTAAGTCTCTTCATGGTGTGAACCTCTGATGTTGCACTGCTGTCAGGAGAATTCAATTCCAGCTCTTGTAGAACAGGCTTCTTCCTTGATCTCAAAGCGCTGAATGTCAAAGTCCCAAGTGGAAATGGGATTTGGGCTGAAAACCTCTAAACATGGCCTCCTTTCTCAGGGGCACAGTCTACATCTGCACAGAGCAAGATGCTGAGTGGAGTCGGGGGCTTCGTGCTGGGTCTGTTCTTCCTCGGGCTGGGGCTGTTCATCTACTTCAGGAATCAGAAAGGTAAGGGGTCTGGTGGGGGCCAAGACTCCACAGCATTTCAGGGAGACCATGGCTTGTACTCAGGATGTGACTGGCCCTGTGACCTCAGGTTTCAATGGACTCTGAACCCTCTCTCTCTCCACGCTCCCCTCTGCCCTGGCTGCTGTGGGCTGTGGTGCCAGAGGAATCTCAGGTAGCAGCTCAGAGTCTGGGGACATGCGTCTGGAGAGAGATCTGTCTCCATGCACTTACGTGTCTATTTTGTTCTCTTTTCTAGGACAGTCTGGACTTCAGCCGACAGGTAATACCCTTCAGTCTTCCCTCAGAGACAGATCTGCTTCCCCTACAGTGTGGGCTGGGGTGTGATGGAGCCCAGACAGAAACACTGGGGAAGGTGTAGATCCCAGGGTCTGGCCAGGCAGTTCTCACTGAGCCTTGTTCCTGCACTTACTGAAGGCCTGTGCTCTGAGGCAGCGCTGACTTGGGGCTTGAGAAGTTCCTCTGCTCACGTCATGCTGTCAGGAGAGGCCTGGGGTGGTGAGAGAAGCCACTGCAGGGTCAGGTCTGGAAAGGCCACTGTCCCCTGTGCTCTGCAGGACTCCTGAGCTGAGGAGAGGTGCCAAGGCTGGAGGAAGGTGCTCCCCTGTCTCCATGGCATGAAAACGTGTCCTGTCTGGTTCGCATTCCTCCATTGACAGTGCTACCCAGGACCAGGCTCCTCCTGACCCTGGACCCTACAGACCTGTGCTCCCTGATGGCTTGCTCAGCCCCTGCCTGGGCCTGCTGCCCCAGGACAGAAGTCCTCTCACCTCCTTTGTCCCACTCTCTTTTGTCCCCCACCCTTTGTCTGGAGCTTCTCAGCCAGCTGATGTCATGATGCTTTCTCACATTTTTCTCAAATAAACAAAGAGTGAAAATCACCTGCCTCATTGACTTTCAGGAAGAAATAGCAAACAGAAAGAAATGACCTGCTGTAAGACATTGTTTGTGCAGGATGAGCATGGCTGATTGTATATAAGTAATAAAACTTCAGCATTATATATTTCCTGTTAATTAGAATATTTTTGGATTGAATTTGAAAAGACAACACATAATCAGACCACACACAGTCGTTCAAGCACACAAGAAGGGAATCGGTGAGACTGTGTCAGAGGCGGGAGATGCTGCTGTGGCCCTTGTCACGGTGTGGGTGAGAACATACTCAGCGCGATGCTCCGTCCTTTGCTCTATGGAGCAGCTGGGTGGGAAGAGAAATGTGTTTGCATTGGTTGATAATCTGGAAGGTTCTGCTGTGGGGATCCAGTTGATGCGGCAGTCTCCAGACACCGAGGTTTTCCCCTGTCCTCCACACAGAGACACACATTAAAACAAAACAAAACAACAAATCAAAGCAAAGAAGTGAACCTTTAAATACAGCAATTAATTCAATTATGATGAAACAAAGAAACCAACCAAAATGATGGCTTTCAAAGTTTATATACTGGTCAGTTACTTCCTGAGGAAAACATGTTTCCTAGAGAAATCTCTAGAGAAAACAAAGCTGTGAGGATCCAGGACTTGGCTCAGTGGATGAAAGCCCAGGCTGTGTGATCCAATGGACCTGATTTCACTCCTAGAACCCACACAAAGTTTAGAGGAACAATTTTTCAAAGTTGTCCTCCTAGACAGATGAATACACATTTTTAAATGGAATTTTTAAATTAAAGGGAAAAATGTGGAGTTTAAGGACTGTTTTTACAGGATGCTAGAACATATATATCTATTTTCTTTTTTGGATGTGTGTGCTTTGTGTGTGCTCATGCATGAACAAGCATGGGGAAGCTGGAGACTCACACGTGTGCCCTCCTGAGTTACTCTCCACCTTCTTTTTGAGACACAGTCTCTCTGATCCTGGAAGGCACTGACTGATCCTTCTGTCTCTGCCTCCTAGGCAGGGAAATTCTGTCAGGGACAAGGACAGAATCTCTAGTTAATGGAAATATACAGACCCCCATAAGACAGGGAACTAGAACATCTTACAGTCAGGTTGCCTAGCGACAGGGCATTGAGTAGAGCCCTTGACCTTTTCACCCTGTCAACATCCTGCATAAACATCCTGTTAGCTTGCCCCACCCTATGCAGATAACAGCTTCCTGCTCCCCCCACCCTACAGGAACTATATAAACCCTCCTGGAGAAAAATAAAGTTGCACCTTGATCAGAATCTTGTCTTGGTGTATTTCCTTTGTGTCTCCTGTCCCTATCATTCCGTCCTTAGGGTGGTGGAGAACCTGTTGAAGCCCTGCTGGCCGGGGCAAGATTCCAGGTCATACCACCCGAGGCCTGGCTCTTTATGTGTGTGTTGGGACCCTGAGGTCAGGTCCTCACACTCGTACACCAAGAACTTTACTGACGGAGTCATGACTCCTGCTGTACACATCTGTTTCAATAAACACATTTGATATCCAGTTTCTGTTGATTAATGTGCAGTGGGACTGAGGTCAGAATCAGAACAAGAAGAGGTTGAATTGGATAGAAGAATCTACTCCCAGTTCAGTCCTGTCAGTAAAATAAGTATCCGATGAATAAAATTAAAACAAAAATGAAAACATAACAGCATGTTAATATGTCCATCACCATCACTCATTATTACCATCACTGTAAACACATGTGAAGATAAAAATCCCCTCAAAGCTTCGAAGTGTCAGTGGGCAAGGATATAATGGTTCATATATCACAAATAGTATGATTGTGTTTATATACTGTAATTCATATTTTATGTTTAGTGTATCTTCCTAAACACTTTATAATGCATCCATGAGCAAGACTTCTTCTGTCCTTTCTTAGGATTAAGTAGGAGGGGGATAAGTAACAGAGGGATTCCCTCAGCAAACAAGGAAGTCACTACAGAAACCACAGTAGGGACAGGACTCCCACAGGCTCAGTTGTCCTAAGGCAGAGTGATAGTGTCAAGGCTGACCAGCCTCAGAAGAGGTGGCTCGGCATGGTGTCCATTCAGGTGCTTTGGATGCAAACTGACCAAAACTTTACAACCCTGAGCTGAAGCCCTCTGCTTAACAAAGGAAACTGGAAACTTCAGAAAGACACTCATACTGAACCTCTGTCTAACAACTGATGATGCTGGCCCCCTCTGCTCCTGATTGGCTCTTCAGCACTGAAGGTACCCAGCCCAGCACCAATAGGTGGAGTATTTCACAGTCCTCAGGCAGGCAGGCTGGCCTGCTTCTCTGACCACCATCCTCTCATCTCCTCTCCTCTACCATGGTGGGTCTGTGGCTCCCCAGAGGCCCTTGTGTGGCTGTAGTCCTGACGCTGATGATGCTGAGCCATCCTGTGGCTTTGGTCAAGTACCCCCGACGTAAGTGCACACCTCAGGGGCTGAGCTGCTGTGGGTGGGGAAGGCAGGGAGCTACCTTTGTTTGGTCTACATTAGGCCTTTTAAAACTTGTCATTTTTTTCTTTGACCACTTCTTTTAATCACATGAATCTCAAATTATTTCCATATGAAAGGATCTTGCTCCTTTGAGACCTGTGAATGGCATCACACATGGGTCCTGTCCCCGTCCTTCCTCATGAGACTCCTCCAGCCTGACATCACATTTCTTAGGATCTGGAAAAGATGAAGAAATCAGGTGTTGAAATAATGACCTGTCCAGAACCTCTTTAAAATATTAAGAGAGAAAAAAGGGAATGTTTCTTTTAAAATTTTATGAGTGATTAAGAAGAATTGGGAGGCTCTATCCTAGAAGACTGTGTTGTGCCCTCACTGGGATCTGTAGCGTTAGCACATCTGGCTAATATCCCAGGAGGGGTCAAGGGCATCCCCTCTTCTCCCTGATCCCAGTGTTCATGAGCCCTGCACCCCTGTGGTGGGGGTGCTGTCACAGGAAGTAGTCAGTGTTCCCTCCCTACTGTGGGAGGGACCCTGGAGCCGACCCTGGAACTTAACGCTTGAGTCACCCTCCTAGACAAGGGGCATCCACGGTGTGCTCTTCAGCGTCTTGAAGACTTAATGGTTCCTCTGACAACCTAGCACAGTATGGCGTCCTCTGTAGCTCAGAACCAGCCCACACCATTTCTCCAGCATCAGCCGCCTTCCTGCCTGAGTGTAAAGCAGAGGATTCAACTGGTTTTAGATATCAAATTCCATTTTCATATATCAACAGTGGTCAGAATCAACAATTTCATACGGTTCAATCTGTGCACCCCCAGCAAGGGTGCAGACAGTGTGAAGGCTGCTACCATCTCCCGGTTTAGAAGCCAGTCAGCAAATAAAGGCCACTGGTCTGCCAAGGTTCCCCCAAATCTTGTAGATTCCTTCATCTTGATGTCTGTTCTCGATCATCCATGTTGAGTTGTTGGTATTTACAATTCCTCTCTGGCCTTTCCCAGTGATGTGATGCAAAACCCAAGATGTAAATATGAATATATGTATTATGTATGTACACATGCATGCATGCGTGCCTGTGTGTGTGCATGCATGCACACGTGTGCGTAGGCTGATTTCTGCAGTTCTAGAGTTTAGGAAATACAGTATTCAAGGGCTCACAGCTACTGTGTGTATGTTTGCTTCATGATCCTATGCAGGAAGCAGGGCACAAAAATGGGGGGGGGGGAGAGAGAGAGAGAGAGAGGAGAGGAGAGAGAGAGAGAGAGAGAGAGAGAGCTGCTTTCACAGGCTGCATTGACAGCAATGATCCAACTCCCACAACGAAGTCCTTACCCCTTTCATTACGATAAGTCCCCATGACAAGGTCACTTGTTAAATGTTCTACTTCTCGTCTCTGTTGCAAGGGGGACAGTGTTTCCAACACTAGAGGACATTCACACACCAGAGCACCAGGACTCCAAACCCGAGTCCTTCTTTCTTGCAGAATATGAGGGAGTGGTCCCTTGGGGTATCAGGAGCCTCCCCCATGGCTTATCTGGCCCTAGCCCACCAAGCAGCTTCCCTGTTTAGTCCAGTGGTCAACCTCTCACATGGATATACTTGGCTTTGCCTCATGGGGACTCTATGGTGGCCTTAGTCCTGTGGTCCCCAGGTGGCGCCTGGGTGAGGTCTCTGTGGTGGCCCAGCCCTTGCAACAAAACCTGGGTCATGCTTCACGTGAATCTGGATGGAAACCCCGGTGGCCGACAGCCCTTGCCCTCAGTGCACCTGCAGTGTTAGCAGCACATTGATGCCTCCACAGTTAGCAGCAGTGGCCTCTGGACTGGCTGGTAAGCCACACCTGCACTTCCTTGTGCTGTGGACTAGGAGGGCAGGGGCAGGGGCCTTGTGCTGGGAGAAAGTGAAGCATCATCAAGTGTTTCCCTTCCTCATCAGTCAGGGTTTCTAAGTAAAACACGGGGCAAGAAGCTCAATCTGAAAACCTGAATTCAGACAGCAAACAAGTGCTCAGCTAGGCACCCCATTTCCTTATTTGCTGTGTCCTGCACCCTTGTGCTGGGCAAACGGCTGCAGAAGGCGGAGAGAATGAGAGCAGGCTTATGCTGCCAACCACAGGATGACAGAGAACAGCAATTGCATGCACATGTGTTTTAACTCTCTCTCCTTCAGGAAGGCCCTCAGGGACTTGTGGATAGTAAGATCAGCTTTGTCTGCTCTGGAATTCACTCCTCGGTGTCAGCATTCCTTCTGGGCAAAGAGAGTTTTGTGGTGCAGGTCTCTACTGATGGTCCGGCTCACAACAGTCTGTAACTCCAGATCCAGGAGACCGAACACCCTATCCTGGCTTCTGTGGGCATTGCACACAGGTAGTGCACGTACAGACAAGCAGCACGCACACATGCACATGGATCAAAATAAGCACGTATAATTTGGAAGAAAACAAGCTTCTCCGAGGGCCAGAGAGATGGGCTAGTGGGTCAAAGGGCTTGCCATCAAGCCTTCACAGCCTGAGTTAGAACTCTGATCCCGC